CCTTCACCTGCGGGCACAGCACAGCCCCGCGCTCAGCCGCCCGCCCGCCCCCGGGGCGCCCCTCTGGACGCCGCCGGGCGCGGGACTTGGGCACCCGCGTCTCCCCCGCGCCCGGGAAGGTCCTGCCCCGTGCCCCGCACCCAGGGACTGTTCTCCCGGGAAGGGAAAGGCTCCTCCAGTGCGCACACAACCCGCGGCGGTCAGTGGGGCTCTGTCTGGGATAGCGCACCCTGGACTCCAGGCTCCAGTTTGCCGAGGGGTGCGGGTGTATAATCTAGCTAGATACGGTAGTAGTAGTACTGTGTTTTGGATAGTACATATACTATATCCCACTCTCCAATTTACTGGGGATGCAGATAATCTAATCTAGGTATAAGCATACTAGATGCGTTAGTAATAGTAGTATTGCATTTTGGATAGTATACAGTGTATATTCCACTCTCCAGTTCACTGGGGGGGCAAATATATAATCTAGGCATGTGCATACTACATATGCTAGTAATAGTAGCGCTGTCTTTTGGATAGTGTATATTATATTCCAGTCTCCGATTTATTGCGGATACTGATATATAATCTAAATATATACATACTAGATGTGTTAATAATGGTAGTACTGTATTTTGGATAGTATACGTCATATTCCAGTCTCCAAGTTCCTGGGGGTGCAGATATATAATCTAGGTATATATCTACTAGGTATGTTAGTAATGGTACTGTATATTGGATAGTATATATACTATATTCCAGTCTCCAATTTACTGGGGGGTGCAGATATATAGTATGAATATATAACACATAGTACCTACGCCAGTAACAGTACCATACAGATGATACTATATATTATATTCCATTCTCCAATTTGCTGGGGGTGCAGATATATCATCTAGGTCTATAACACATAGCATATAGGTTAGTAATAATACTGAATAACATATATGTTAGTAATAGCAGTACTATACTGTATACTGAACTATGCAGTAGTACTATACTGTATAATAGTGTATATTATATTCCATTCATTAATTTATTGGGGGTGCTAATATATTATCTATATACATATTATATATGTTAGTAATAGTACTGTATTTTGGAAAGTATATATACTATACTCCATTTTGTAATTTACTGGGGGTCTGGATATATAATCTAGGTATATAACACAGTACTACTATTTGGTGTAAGAATGTGTTATATTACATAGTATGCTAGTAATGTCACTACTACATTTTGGAGAGTATAGTACATTCCGTTCTCCAACTTTCAGCGGGTGCAAATAGGTATATAATACATACTATGTATGCTAGAAATATTAGTACTATTATTTTGGATAGCATATACTATATTCTATTTTCTAATTTGCTGTAGGTGCTTATATGTAGCCTAGATATACAACACATACTATGTGTGTTAGTAATATCAGTATATTCTGGATAGGATATACTCTATTCTTTGATTTACCGTGGGTGCATGTATATATAGTCTAGGTATACAATACATACTGTGTATGTTAGTAATACAAGTACTATATTTTGGATAGTATATACTATATTTACAGCATACTATAAATATACTGTAGATATTGCACAAGCTCTAGGCACACACCGCATATTGCATGTATCCCTGGAAAGGTAGGCAGTGCTACATACTAGCAGATATATCTTGGCCCCCTCTAGGGTTTCTGAGCTCGCAGTTCTCAAGCTGCGTTGGGAAAGGGAACAAGCCGATGACGAGAAGGAGCACGCTTGCGATGTGGCTTTTCTACATATGTGAAAGAAACCGAGGCGAGCCCTGCAGCTTCCAGCCTCACACTTGCAAAATGCCCAGAGCAAACAGTCCGGGCTAAGAGCAAGAGGCGGGGGAGAAGCTCTCCTCGTTTTCCTCTCACCAAAAATATTTTAGAGATGTAAGATTTCTCTCTCTCTTTTTTTTGTTTGCTGCATTGCGTGTTTGAATACAAAAAAAAGTCCTCCCCCCTGCCCTCCTCTTCTTCTTTTTCGTCGTCATCTTTTTCTTCCAGGAAACCAAATCTTGCTCAACAGACCACAACGTTATACGATTCTGTGTACTGTGGGCCATATAATAGTGAAATCATTACTGAGTAGCGTTTAATGATTCCGTTTGAAAGGGAGTTTTCACTTCCTCAGAACTAGGGATTTCACAATCCACAAAAAAAGAATTTATAAAAGAAAAAGTCTTCATTTTTATCTTCTTTGAACTCAACTGCCTCCTACACCGAGCTGCACTTCAATAAAGTGCGCAATTACCGTCCCCCATGGCCTGTTCGCTGCATTGCTTATGCTCCTCTGCATTTGCCAAAGCAAACGCGTTGGGAATCATGACACAAACTGTCGGGTTCCTTTATTGGGAGTTTTTCCCCTGCTGCAGGGTGTTTAGTCCCATAAAAACACATGGGTTTGCATTGTAACTAGAAAGATGCGTTTAAGGTGCGTGCATATCCCTCGTGCGAAATGATCACATTTTAAATAAATCCCACAAAAGCCAGAGAAGGGAAAGGGCGGGGGGGGGGGGGGGGGGGTTATA